TCTGAGTGTTGGATGCTGGTTTGTTTGTTTTTTTTTAATATTTTCTAAGTCTGTTGGCTCATGGTTGTGGAATCTTTTTTCCTTTCATAATAGTCTCCCTGGACAGGTGATGGAGAATAAGGTACCTGTCGCTTGCAGTGTTTAGAATATTTGTCACACTCTTTACTCTGTGGTAATCAAAATTGTCTGAAATGCAAAGCTATGAGCAACAACAACAAGCTGTCAATCCACTGTGACTGCTGTTCCCACCATAGATTCATTTCAGCAGAAAGCAGCTACAAAGGCTTTTCAGGTAGTAGGTACTTCACAAAGTTTTGGCCTAGCTGTGGTGTTTTAATAACATCAAAATTACTGTTGAAGTCTGAAATGAGTAAGTAAGAGTATGGGAGTAGGGAAGGTTCTGAATCAGTTGAAGAATGTCAAACTATTAATTTAGCTTGTAAATCTAAGTCTACCTAAGTCTAGGTAAATTCTAAGATATGTGTCACTGCTGTATGCTTGGGTGACCTTTGAAAATGCTTGGGAGAGGAAAAGTCTGTCTGAGATCAGTTTAAGCTCCGAAGCACTACATTACAATCATTACAAAGTTTTCCTGAAATGTATTTAATTTTCTGGAACAAATGTTAAGCCTTCTAAAATAGGGGTCTCCTGCCACTTGTATGCTAATTTTATTCTATTAGTAATAGTAGTAATAGTAGTTATTGTCCCCGAGCTTTCCAAGCTCCAACATGCTTAGAAACAATATTTAGGGAGAAAGATCTTTAAAAGAAAGGAAAGTAAAATGATCTCTAGACATCTGTTTAGAAGATGTCTCATGCAAAAATAAAGGAGTATTAGAAAGAAAGAACAGGAACCTTCAGTTTATCACTGGGATAATAGGCATGAGGGTTACCCAGTCAGTTTTCCATACTAAATGAAAAAAATATATATTTCTATTTAAATTATAATAATAGTTTCCATATCTGTATCTGGAAACACATGAGTGCATATTTGCATGCATGATTGCATGCACATTTTATGCAGATGGGTGGCCTGTTCTTTTTGATGGGTTAATACATGTGTTCTTTGGGTAAGCAGACTTAGTAGGAGATAAGAATTTGCTGTCGGTCTCATTTTGTGTAAAAAGATGGATTCTGCCAGAGGGATTTTTTTTATCCTCAGTGATTGAGTGGCTTGAAAAGGTTTTTTAAATTTTTCGCCATCATCATAGATAGGTCAAGCTCAGCACCTGGTAGATTTCATTGTTCAGCATTCTAAATCAAGACTTAAAATGCAAGGAGGCAGCATCAGTCAGGTGATGAGAAAAAGCCTTGTCATTCATGTTATGTGGAACAATACAACCATGCCTGGGAGATGGATGGCCTATAAGTTTCCAGGTTCTGAGTTAGTCACCGTGTGACTTGGCTCTAGTTGCCAAAGCTTTCTGTCCCAAGATGATGACTTGGTGTCTGTCATCTCCTCCTGTCTGCCTTTTCTTAAAACAGCTGATCCAAAGAAGGAGGAACTGGATCATCTTTGAGACTTGTTGTTTCAAAGAACTAACTTTGGGAGAGGACTAGTAGCCATAGCTAATGCTGTTCTGTAGTCTGTGAGGTTGCCTCACTGTTCATATCAAGGTAAATGGGTGGAATAATGTGACTACAGTTTGCTGCCATGCCAGAATCTCTGCTTGCAGTACAGGATCTGCAGGTCTAATTGTCCATACGTCGTACATTTGGGTGGGTTTTTTGCCTGTCATGTGTTTGGGCTATTTTATTTTTAAAGACTGCTCCAGTTTGCCTTTGAAGGTTTCTGCTTTTAAATCAGAGGATTGTGTCAGGTAAGTGCCAGCATTTTTATGCTCTCTGACACTGGTTTTATGCTAGCTGCTGAGATATAGGCAGGCTGAGGTTGAGGCAGGTGGCTTTGCTTCTCTTGGCCATTCCCCGTCCATTGTTGTTACTAGTGTACATTGAGATCCACATTTGCTGTTTGTTCCAGGGAACTGTGGCTCCATTGAGGTGGGAGCTTGCCCTGCTCTGTGCTTCAGTATTTGTGTGCTGCGCTGCTCTTCACCAAGATGTTTCTGCTCCCCCCTCCCCATTCCCAATAGGTTTTCTTCCAATGTTTGTTTACCAGGACATTTTAGGGAACTGTGCCTTGGAGCTGTTGCTCATGCTGGCACTTCGCCTGGTGTTTTTCAGAATTCTGTTATGAGAAGTGCAAGGCAACAGTAAGGGATTCCAGATTTGTCAATACAAGCAGCCGTTCTCAGGCAGCAAGTGTTTGTGTCAAGATCATGTCAACAGCATGTGTTTTCATCCTTGTATATGTGTAAACATGGGTATTCAAGAGGGGCCCCCACATGTTCCTGGAATGTGAAGGTAGGACCTAAATGCATCCTGAAAGCAAGCTTGTTAAGTGTGATAACATCTGTGAAATAATGAAGGAAAGTTGCTGGTTTGCTTATTGCTTTGTGTGTTTCAGGACAGAGTTTCTCATGCATAATAGATTTGTGTGTGTGTTTTATACCTGGATCATAAGTTATAAAACATAGTCTCTTTCAAATTGGGGTCTCAGGATCCATGTTGTTGGCAACAGTATGGAAATGGCTTACCAGATGCTTTATTCCGGGATGTTACCTCAACTTTCATGTCCAGTCTCAGTCTCTCATCCGAATATTAACTGAGTCTGACACACACACACACACACACACACACACTCATGGGCATTCAGTGTCCTTTCTTCCAAATGGATTTGTTTGGGTTCTGGTCTTACGTTACAGTTGGCTACTTTATAGTAACGTAACATTAAATATAAGTATTCAGATTCAGCCCTTGAGAATAATAAAGAAAAAAAATTGTGTGTGTGTGTGTGTATGAGAGTGTGTGTATGTGAGAGAGAGAGAGTGAGTGAGTCCAGGAAAATATACATGGTGGAGACAATTTAACTCCACCATGGGTAAAATGAAAATGGTGGGGGGATGGAGGAATAAAATCATTCTGTATGCTCGCAAACCATTTATGATACAATTTTCCATATTAGAACTGAGACCTGGAAGTGAAAATAGAATTTGGAGCCATGTCATTAAGCACCAACCATAGGTTTCACTGCCTGTTTGAAAAGAGATGTGACTGTCTTTTGCTAGTGGTCTGTCTAAATCAGTGTTTCTCAACCTTGGCAACTTTAAGATGTGTAGACTTCAACTCCCAGAATTCCCCAGCCAGCATGCTCACAGACAGC